ACTTACAAATCAAATCAACGTCTATAAACCCCTTCAGCTAAACTTATTATTATTGTTACTACTATTATTATGATTGCATCAGCACGATTGTTACACTGTTTAAAACAATTTTTTGTAGATGTTGAAAAATGGACCTATCAAAACTTTAGTCATTCACAACTTGGTTGTTTACTTGTTCGACCACGATCTCTTAGTGCAACATGTTTGAATATAATATCATCAACAATCAATAATCCAAGTTTTGATGCTCGCCATAACGACAGTGGGGATGATGAAGAAGTGAAAGTACAGAATAGACGTTGGAAATTCGATAATGCTAATGATGATAAACATGAATTAGGATGTAATTCAATGAAAATCTCCAAGTATGTTTTATTTCTTACTACTTCATATTTGACTCGACTACCTCATTATCTTAGAGGGTAATAAGTAGTTTGTTACTGAAGACCGATACCTAATTTTTGATAGCCAATATTACTAAGCATATTTACTTTACCGATGTGATTAATTTAGTAAATTGGTATTTTGATAATTTCATTTTAAAATATGAAATTGCCGATAGTTTTTGGTTTTACTCTGACTAGTAACTAAACTGTGATTAATGTTGTGTTCTAATTGGATCCGGTAAATTGAGTTACACTTATGATCGGTAGTTTACGTGAATCCAAATGGCATGCACTGTTTCTAGATGGTAGGTGGTTAGATTAAGCGAAGAATTCAACTTTTGTGTCCGTGTTGATACTCGCCAGTACGAGGTTCAAGTAAACCTGATGTGAACTACCTTTCAGTAAATATCTAAATCCTATAAGAGATCAGTAGCAACTTGAATATCTCAGCAGCATATTATACCTCTGTAACATTGGGTGGCGCCGTTTAAAACTGTGTAAGGACCATCAACCTTCTCGAGATTGTAACTATTATGTCTTGCTTGATAAATTTGAACTTATGTAAAACTTAGTTTCGGGACGTCTTGCTGATTGCCTCCAGGCATCTGACAACAAAACTTCAATTTTTCTTAAAATAGCCCATTTAGTATATTATTTGGTGTTGATGTTGGTCCTAATATGACCAACAAGATTCCAAATAAATTTTTCAAAGCTTATCGGTAGGTATCTAAGTAGCACTAAATAACAGGCGTATTTTATCATGATTCTTAGTTGTAACATGTAAAAATCTGTATGTATCATTTGCAATTGTATTGTTAGACGGTTATATGTTTAAACTTCATGATAGTTATGTCCAAACACTAACTTTGCAGTGTAGACCAAAAGACACTACAACAAACGGGGCTAAATCAAACATCATCATGTACACAATCATTTGCACCAACTACAAAAAACACTACATAAGATAAAGCTACCTCCGCTTTTGCGTCTGCATGAATACCAGCACCTTTTTAAACGCTACGACATAGCATCTTTCATGTAAATGCATGGAGAAAACCATGGACACGATTTCTATTTGGGAAACTTGGAAATATTGTACGAAAGAAACGCAAAGAAAGCTAAAAGACTCTTAGAAACATGGCACTCTACTAATGTATCAACTAATAAAGAAAAGGATAAACAACTCGGGGTATTCTCCCGTTCATTTAGTATGTGATTACTGCATAGAAGAGTGTAATTTTCACTGGAGACGTTATTTTAATAATCTAACTTATGTCTTCTGTGAACACATTACTGTAGTACATTATCACTTTGCTGGATGAAATAAGTGAATAACGTGAAAATTAGGATTCGAACTGGAATCTTCAGTGGAAATTATACTTTATTATGTAGCATTTACTTATTAAATGAGCAGAAAAACTCTAGTTTCTGCACACATGTTGAGTATCGAAAGACATATTCGCTACAAATTCACATTCCCATTTTCATGGAGTTTTGTTCTCTGAGCTGAGCCATCCAGCTCAGAGAACAAAACTCCATCAAAATCATCCACCTGAGCTACAAATCTTCTCCACCATCTCACATTCTCATTATTTATTATTGATAAGGGGACGAAACTTACATTCTTTACAATATTTATTACTTATGTACTATTTGAATGTGGTTAACGTCATACTATTTCTTTTTCTTATTAATTTACAGGATTGAAAATTCTATACAAGAAATAAATGAACATTCTAGTCCACGTTTAAAACGTTTAAAAAAACGTACTGAACATGTACGTAACTTATTACCAGTTAATTTGCATCGATTTATTTTACCTGGTTGTATTAGTTCACTAAGTCGTTCATCGTCTATTGGTACATCTAGTCATTATACAACTATATCTGATATGTTATTTTTATCATTATCACGTAAAACATCATATCGTCGACGTCGTTATCATCATCATCATCAACATCAGCATCATTTAGATCAACAACAATTCTATCATCATGAACATGATTCTGATATTAGTGATAATGATGATCAATCTATCTATCAAAATAATCATAAACAAAAAATGTCTAATTCAATTCGAAATTATAGATATCAACAAAATCATAAATATTTAACAAAATTTTCAATAGACAATCAGAAAAAATGGGCCAGTGATCCAGAATTACAATTAACATCTACCTGTCAAATAATTGATTATATACACTACTAATTAACAAATAATTTAAGTAGTTAAACTTATTATTATTATTTTTCTTTAATATATACGCCTTAGTCGTTTTTCCTTGTGAGTATATTTGTTTATTGTTGCTTAAACCGGTTCTCTTATCATTTAATTTTATATTATGAAATGTTTATTACTGCAACACTATCTTTATATTACTTCTATTTCTTATTCTTCTTGATCAGCATCATTTTACCTCTTAAATACTGCCTTATCTATCTATGTATATGTATTACATAAGTTATATTATTTTTTTTCAAAAAATTTTGTTTCTGGTACAAAATCCCGGTACAATTTGCCTTATTTTTCAGTCAACTTAGCTTCTAAAAACAAAAAGCATTCGATCATTTGTTCAAGTATATCCATGTTTCATTTGTGCATTTCAAAAACACAACAAAAATAAAGAAACTTTGCAGTTATTTCAAGAACACAAAAACGATTTTAACCTTGGTTTTATGCGGGTCGTAAGACCTTTATACATTTCAAATTACATAATAACGATAATTAATTTGAGTTATTAAGTGAATTTTTCCTTTCTCTAGGCTCATTATGATTTTTTTTGTTGTTGTCAACTTTAGGCATTTGATTAATGTATGCATGAATTTCTTTCATAGTTTTGCATTATTTGTGTATGTGTTATTATTGTTTTTTTTTTCAACCCATTTTGATATATTTATTTATAAACCCTGACTTGAAATCAACCTTTTTTTTTGTAAGTTTTATTATTATTATTTATAAATAATTTTATAATTATTGTTATGTGAAATTTAATTTGTACACTTTTGTCTGTTTCAAGTAGTATAGATATGGATAATAAGTGACAAGGATCATACCTAATTATATTGCTTGATCATTTGTTGAATATACTGTTTTTTATTCTCTATATTACTTCAACTACTTACAATTTTTATTAGTAGTATAAAATTTAAAGCTTCAAATAAAAATGGGATTATTTTTTCCTGATTTTAATTTAACTGCTTTGAATAATGAGTTATTATGGCAGTATGTCAATGCACATTAAATTATAATCTTTGTTACTTTTGAATCGTTATACAGAGAAAACAAGTCTAATAATGAAATTATTCAGTTTAATATCAACATGTTTTTTTTTTTGCCTTCCTTTCTTTTCACAATGTATTAGTTATCTTTCAATCTTAATTAAATACTTGCCTATAAAAAATTACTTAATGTTTTCTTTCTATATATTTGTAATTTAATAAAGTTTATATAGTTCTATCATGAGTTATCTTTGTGTTAATAGTGTAGATTCAGTGATTATACTTCCAACTGTCTGTTAACTGTGCATACGTCTGTGAGTATTTAGGGATAATTCTTGTCAAGTCTACTGACGTAAACTTCGGAGCAACACAAATGTGTTATCTTTCGTTTCAGACTTTTCAAGAGCTATTATCTATGAACTACAATCAGATATATAGTATAGTGTTTACGTTTTATAGGGGCCATGGTACCAACTAATTGTTGAATCTTATGGTGTGACAGGTAGTCATCGCTGTGACAAACTCAAATTAGTTTGACGCGTGCTACAATAGGCAACAGCGAAACGATATTGAATGTAAACATAAAACGTATGGATTGATAAAGAACCTGTAGATTTCAACTTTATGGTTTAAATGAAGATAAACAATATTTAACGATTTATTTCTAACATTTTGAAAACCCAATGTAAAAAGACTACAATTCAGACCAACACTGTAAAGACAATAACTTTTTCATAAATCTAGGTCATCACATCTATAATCTGATATCCTTAACACACTACGCAGTCAACCCCGTTGGTTACTTTACTACTTTCCCTCCAAAACTCTAATTCTAACCGTAATATTATCTATTCATTCATTCACTAATTGTTGACGAATATTACGATGATATATATGTATATAATTAGTAAAGGATAGTGGATAAGATGTTTCAACAGTTCAGATAGTATAATAAAAAAGGGAAAAATATGGTTTCTTCATTCTTAGAACGGTAAAGTATTTTACCGTTGATAACAATTGAACCTAGATCTAAATTTCTTTCAAGTTTGTAATTTATTCAGCATAAGGTTTGTATTTTAATGACCATATTATAGTCCATAAAACACTACTGTCAACGTAGCAAAGTAGTAACATTCTTGAGTGTTTCGTTTAAATATATATAATTGGATATAAAACTGAGTATAAATTTTGATTGATACGAGGGATGAATCAACCGTTTTCAAATATTTAGAGTGACTATTTATCAGTAGTAATTAAAGTAGATCTATATCGATACACCAAACCACAATGATGACTTCAATATAAAGTATGAAATAAGCAGAAGATAAGAGTACAGATGTATGGTCACTTTTTCATTTAAGAATAATTTCTGTATATGTATACAACATGGGTAATTTAAGCAATCACAGGTTTTAATGCAAGTGAAGATTTTAAATTTTCATTATAATTTTTAACTAGTTCCATTGCACGTTTAGCCAATTGAGTTGGATCAGTTTCTGCACGTTTATTATCAATAAATTCCTTTAAACTGTAATTAATTTCTTCATGTTGTGCCCAACGACGTTCTAAATTAGTTAATTGTACATATATATCTTGTCCAGTTAAATGTGTTTGTAAATTTGAATGTTCCGCGGCTAATTGTTGATTTAATTTGTTTAAATTATTACGATACTTATCTAAACGTGATTTTTCTTCGTTTAACTGAAAATATGTGAGGAAAATTAAATGGTTTTGAATGTCAAAGAACTTTATTAATTGTTTATGTATCGGAGAATTTGGAAAAATTAATCTGAATAATCACTCGTTGATAGCTTTACATAAGTCTAGTGAGAAGCCGTGACCAGTGGAGCTAATCCGTGTCGGGTAGAAACAGGTATCTACCTCAGTACAATGGAAGATGGTCGCGCGATTTCGTGGATTGAGTGAGGTTAGACATTAACACCATTAGATGCCGGCTCAGTGGTCCAGTAGGTTAAGCGTTCGCGCGCAAAACTGAAGGCCCCGGGTTCGAACCCCGCGAGCGGGGTTGTGGGTGTGCACTGTTGAGGAGTCCCACAATTGGACGAAACGGTCGTCCAGTGCTTCCGGATTTCCAATGGTGGTCTAACATGAGTCGGTTCATGATCTCAATCGAAAAAAGTCAACATATTTGTACTTGAATATAAATAGAAAACTAACTTAAAGAATATATATATATATAATCATAATAACTTATCAAACCGTATCCTTAAAGCCTCAAAATAGCCTGTGGTCAAAGTGATTCAACATCATAGAGTACTTTATTTGACATCAGATGGTTGAAGGTCATAGATAAGATGTCCTGTTTTTATTATTAAATGTCAATTGGGTCTATTGATAACGTCATTGTCTGAAACAGTTGATTGACATTAGTTCAAAACTCACTGATTGAGTCTTTAATTTGAACTGAATTCTAACCATTAAAAAGCTGTGCAGTTTGTAAATATTCTTTAAAACAATCAGTATAGTTTATCATTGAAAAATGGAAGGTCTATGTAACAATATTGACTATTAGATTTAAGTTAGTTTTCCTAATCCACAATTATTATCCCCTAATATTCATTCGTACATTCAAAGATATAAATGAAATACTTAGATATATTTGCATCAGTGAAATAATTTAGACTTTTCTGTTAATTTGCATAACAGTAACATTGAAAGAAGAACTTATGATTTATTGAAATGTGAATACCTTCGATTTAGAAACTATTTACACGTTATTTAATGAATTCCTAACATGATATTCAAATTACCAATTAAAATGAGATTAGCCAATGTCATTTACAAAGTTCCCAAAGATTTCGGCCTCGAACCCCCAATTCAAAATATTAAATTTATGTACAAAATAACGAAGTCGATGTCTAGCACTTTTCTAGTTTATTATGGTCTATTGATTAATTTCATGTTATGCTAAAACTTATCTTCAAACTTATAAGAGCAGAATTGAGATAAACATGAAATGGAATGTGAAAAATATGAACTATTACAAAAATGGACTCAATAAAAACGATTAAAATCATTTCTACTTTAAATGATTTCCATTGTAGATTGATGTTACTTATATGATGATGCATCCACTCTTTCTGTTCTCACGAATTCTAATCTTCTGAATTCTTCATGTCTCTTTTTTTCTTTTTCCAAATTTATTTCCTTGAATAACATCTTCAAACCCTATTCTTTCCAATTACTGTTTATACTCTTACTACCTCTACCACTATGGAATTTGAATCAACAAATGTATTTCCGTGCTAATGTGGTATGGGAACTCCAACTAACGTATGTACTTACGAAGTTCTACGTTGTTACTGACTGACTGATATGATGATGTAAAAGAAAGCTTTTCTTCCATAGTCTGTGTTATGCCTCAAAAACATGCATATACAATTCCACTAAAAAACCAACCTTCAACATTTGATGGCGCAACTATTACGGTAAAATACAATGACTTAAATGGACCAATTCAGTGAGTTTATAAAATTGCACAAGCACCATTTAATACCGTCAATAATATTTCTAACTAAATGACAAATTAAAATTTTACTATTAAGAAGAAAAGTAAAAAAAATCAACTTACACTTTGTCTTTTAAGAGTTGCATTTTCACGAACTTTATCCAAATCACTAAAGATTACAATTTCTTCTTCCAGTTTAGAAATACGCTTTTTTAGCGTTTCCATTTCCTTTATTTAAGAAAATATAAAACCAGAAAAACATTTCTAATCAACATATTACTAATAAGTAGAATAATTTTACATTGTAAAATAATCAATAAAGATTCTTATGAAGTCGGTTAAAGCGTTTTTATCAACCATAACTACGCCAACTATGTACTGTATGTCAATAAGGGAATTGCAAGGTAGGGGGTTATTCCTTGAGAAATAACACGAAGTAAGTTGTATATCTAGAACTGTGGTGTGTGCTACTTATGTAGACATAAGTATTATATGATGTTAGTCGTGAACAGAATGTCTGGCAGCAGCGAGACAAGAAGATCGAACAGTAAAGAATGAAAACAGTATGCAATTTGTATGAAAATGCAAGAACTATAAAGTCTGAGTCCTTTTGAGACAGTTGATGAAAATTTTGCAAATTGAGCATTCATTATATGGTTGTTAGATTTTATTAACAAGTTCTGTAATTTGTTGTCAAATACATTCAATTGTCCCCATTGGTGTTCGTGTTCACTACGGAACCATTTCCGTGATAAAATTTTGGATCTTTAACGAAATGTTCTCACAGTTCATGTGTATATAACAAGCAAAGATGAAAGAAATGGAAATAATTAACCCATAATTAAATTTTATTCAATTTTCAATACTATTAATAATTTTACAAGTTGTAGTAAAACTTTCTCTATCGATAAGTTTGTCACTTTACGAAATCTACATGTAATTCAGTGTATTAAAAGGACTTATCAGATCAATTATTAAAACTGGAAAACTTCTCAACGTTATTATTCTTTAAAAATAATCTTGATCACAGCTGAATATTCGTTAAAAAAAGTAGAAATTATTAAATAAGTAAATGGTTCTCAACGTTCATCTGTGTGCAGACTTAGAATGATACCCACTATGATCTGTAAATGATTGCTTTGCAGTCCAATGTTGTATATTTTCAACTTCATGTAATTTAAGATTGTATGCAATCATTAAACAATATCTTTGACGGATTACTATCTCATTCTCGATTTACTTACTCATAAGTACCACAGTGTTTCAATAGAACTTTAGGAAATCCATTTTAAAGCTTATTACCAATGCCGTTTTATTGTTTTTAAAGATTTTAGTAAATTTTATCATTATTATCATATTTATCATTATGATTTGAAGTCAGTTGATCAATCAAGAAACAACTATTTTATCCTAATTTTTAACTTGTTAATGTTGAGCCTCCATGAATTCATACATGACCTATAAGTTTGGTCTTAAATCCAAATATGAAACAAATTGATATTAGTTCACTATAAAATGCTAACACTGTTAACTACAAAGAAAAGAGTAGTATAGTATATAATGATTAGTAAAGCTTAGAAACAAATGTTTAACTAACAGTATTCCATAACTATTCCAAATAAGTGACAGTTTTATACAGTCTAATGAAGAATATTTCTTCGACTATACTTGAATTATACAATGATAGATTTTCTTCCCTAAATAATGTTAAACTTTTCATTAACAATTAAATAAGTTATCAGTTTAGGGGTTGTGGAGATTGTCAAGATTTTGATTGATCTCAATCAATTACAATGTGCTCCCTAGTGACTAGCTTCGTGAAAAAATTCTCGGAGTTCTGGTGAGAAGCCGTGACCAGTGGAGCTAATCCGTGTCATGTAGAGACAGTTATATACCTCAGTACAATAGAAGATGGTCGCGCAACTTCGTGGATTGTGTGAGGTTAGACATTAACACCGCTGGATGCCGGCTCAGTAGTCCAGTAGGTTAAGCATTCGCGCGCGAGACTGGAGACCCTGGGTTCGAATCCCGCGAGTGGGATCGCGAATGCGCACTGCTGAGGAGTCCCGCAACAGGACGAAATGCCATCCAGTGCTTCCGGATTTTCAATGGTGGTCTAACATCAATCGGTTCATGATCTCAATCAAATAAGTTGGTTGTTTAATGGCTCTTTAATTTTTGTAATAAACCGCCAAATAAAATTAGCCAATAATGAGCAGCATATTCATATTGAACAAATCTACACAAAGTTATCATTCATAAATTTCTTTATTTGCTGATGCACAATAGCAAACATAACTACAGAAATAGTTTGATTGTTTAAAGATATCCATCACTATCAAAACACAAATATTTGAACGAAGAATATTCTTTCCGATAAATTCTTTTCAGGTTCCACAATTACATAAAGCAAATTAATAATCCGAGAAATGGTCAGGTTCAAGGCAAAGTGTATCGTTTAGGTTTACGGCATATAAATTTAGAATTGTCAAACAAAATACAATAGAATCGTTAATGTTGACATGACTCATATAGAACGTTAACTTGAATCAGATTATAAGTGAAGTGAAATTTAAGATCCATGATCCGAACAAATAAGGGTCAGATAGGGTGAGAGAAACAATAATGCAATTACAATTCGATCAAATGGATGACTAAATTCGATAAAAAAATTATTACTAAGACATAATAAAGTGGGATAAATGTGAAGTAAAAGAATCAGGAATTGGAGAGACTATTAATTATTATTATTATTAATACAAAGATTTGTGAATAACGATAACAGAGACAATTACATATGACCACGAAACATCTTATGTACAATAGTCAAATTAGATCATTCACTAGCTAGGATTAATTGGCTTTAAGTTTCGTCAGGGGAGGAGAAGTGGTGTCTTTCTATTGGGGTAGGCCCCATTTCGTTGCAGAGACGTATAATATCATTTTGGATGGCGACCTGATTCGATGCCACTAGTTAATTATTTTTTACCCAATATTGTCTTCCGCTAAACATTTGATCGAATTGTATTTGTACTATTATTTCTCTTACCCTATCTGACCCATAAATATTCTGACCATGGATCTTAAAATTATCACTTAACATATAAGTTGATTCAAGTTAGCACTCCACAATCCTAAATTTACATGCCGTAACACTAAACAATACACTTCGTATATCTTTGTGTATCTATAAATTTACTTGTTCATGTGAGGCAGGTTACATTGGCCGTACAAAGTGATCACTTTCAAAACGCATCTCAGAACACTATCCTGCATGGCTTTAAAAAGGAGAATGTAAAACAATCACTAGTTCTATACAGGAGCATTTAATCAACTGTCGATACATCACTCTAAAGGAGTCTTCTTTTAAAGTAGTCTACAGAGTCATAGAAATTTGATCAAAGGGATGTTGAATCAATATTTTATGCACTACTGAGGCATTGGCAATCCACAAATTCAAGCCTGAACTTTGCGTGCAGTAACGATTCGTACAAGCTCTCATTCTTCCTTGGCCTTAATTCCCTTTATTGGTAAATTTCGGGTATTTTTCCTTCTTTCTTCATTTTTATTTGATTATTTCTGATTTTTTAGATTATTGTTATGTAATTTTAAACTGTAATCAGCTCTTATTATTATTATTACCTTATACAAGTTTTACCCTTAATCTGACCATTTTTGGATATATTGAATTATAGAATCTGAATAGAAATTATTTTAAAAAATATTCTTCTTTCAGAATATTAATCTTTTATTGAATTTAATTGTCAAACAATCAAAAAATGGCAAGACTATAATTTGTGGACGAACCAATCAAATATAAGATAACGACTCACAAATTTTCGCGTGAAATTCATTCATCCATTTGGCTAAATAGCGTCTTATCATGATAGCTAATGTCGGTTCATGATGAAAACCACACAAATCTAATTCCTAACTTGAATCATCAATTGTAAATTATAATTCTAATCCTCATTTAGTTCTAGTTATTAGGTAGACACTTTCAAAGTCAATCTAGAGTCGTTCAAAGGTCGTTCATAAATTATAGTCTCACCCAAAAAAAAAAGAATAATAATTCGAAAATTTTATTTATCTCACTTGGGTAATTTTACTTTCTAAATGATCAACTTTCAATAAATCTTGATTTAAACGTATACGTTCCTTTGTTAAATTATTAATAACTTCTTCTATTTCAATATTATTATTATTATTTAGATATTGTATTGTATTATTGATTTGATTATTATGTTTATCTTGTTGAATAATTAATTCAACTGATGATAGATCTACATCATGATTTGATGTAATTTGATTGAAATTATTAATAGAATTTGATGTTTTATTTAAAATTTCAATAATTGTTGATTCCATTTCATTGATCCCAGAAATTTCTAAAGACTAAGAAAATGTTAAAAGTGAAGAATTAATAATAGAAAGTAATTTTATTGTATGTCCCCTCCCCTAAATGCCCTGGTACGGCCGAGAGTGGGGAGAGTTTGCTCTTGCTTTCCAAATGCTTTCATATGGCCACGTGCATATAATTATTGCAAGGGAAGTCATACTCACTGCCTTCTCGCGGAAGGGATGTTATTAACGAATTGAGAGGATGAAAAGCGAATGTTTGGCGCTTTAACCGGGTTGGTGGATATGGAGAGTCCACCTAGAGGAGTTGGAAAATCCTGATTCCAAACCAATGGTGCACATGGGCTCCAGTATCCTAAACGAACAAATGGCGTATGAACCAATCGTTGGTCACCAGCTAACATGAGACTGCATTTCCTGACGTTGCTCGACTACCTTGTGGATTAAACCTTTAGGTCAAAGGCTCGGGGTGTGGCCTCCTAAGAAAACTACCTGCTTCAGTTTAGGCACCCGGGCAGTATCCCAGCCTTCACACAAATCAAATGATTTATGTGGCGCATATTTATTTGGTGCCTCCTTGTACCATTGTTTATACGTTTAAATAAATAATTTTATTGTATAATCACTATTTTTAGGTTATATAGTTAGTTTTATCGACTGTAGGCACTTATTTTATGATGTAATTTGTACATCCATCATCAACAAGGTATGTTCGTAATCTTGAAGTAACTAAGACTCACTACATGGTTTGATTTGTAATTTTGTGTATATCAAGTAAAACTCAACTTATCTTATATTCTACTAGAGAAAGCAAGGAAGAATTTAGTCTTTAAGAAAAATATTCTCGTTTAGTTCAACAAACAACTATGGAGGTTTTAAAAAATAGTTATTTTTAGAAAATAAGTTAAATTTTAACTCATACATTTTGGTTATTTAGATCTTCCCATTTATGTTTAAGAGTACAATTGATTACTCTTTTATTGAAATACGTGCATGCTGTGTGGACTACCTAGGTAATCCCAGTAATTCACAAACATTTTAAGCAGAGATGAATGGTGGCTAGTAGTTGAATCCATGGCACACGTTTTGTTCAATTTTGGACTCGTGATCTGGATATACCTGTATCTCCGAGTTAACGTTCACTCCAGGAAACAAACCCAGTACCTATCGCTAGAAACGCTATCAGAGAATAAGGACAAATATGTTCTGTTATAAGTAATTTTCTCAAGATTGTAAATACTTTTCGATGATTATTTTCAAGGTATTTTAAGTCAACGTCTCTTTCAAAAACTTTCACTTGATTCTAATTCATTAACAATCAAAGTTAAATTACCTTTGCATGATCGAAGGTTTGTAAGAATTCATCAATTTGTTGTTCACGTTTTTTAAGTTCACGATATTTTTCATTTCTTTCATTATAATTTTCATCTAATTGTTGTTCCAGTAAATGTAATTCCTCTTCTTTATTAGTAATTTTCTCTTGAATTTCATGTGTTCTACAATGTGAAATAAGAAAAAATGAGGATTCCTTAAAATTATATTACAATGATTGATTATTATGTAGTAAGGAATATCATGTTAGTTTCATCCTTAATAGTAATTAAATCATGTCGATTAAGTTGGAAGATGATCACTAGATTAAGTTACTCAACATTGTTTTGAATATTGTTTCGGTATTAGATGGTTAAAGGAAACTGGTATCATACCTTGGACGTAAGTATTTTTTTTTCAGTTAGACACTTCTCAGTAAGGTATATTCTCAATTTTTAATCAACTGTGGCTTTTGAACGAAATCGAACCAATACTTATCAAGTTAGTAGGTTAAACTTTCTAAGAAAATAATTAATATCGAAGTTAACCCATAGTTTCAATAAAAGATCTGTTATAAAAAGATAATTATTTACATAATCTACGAAACAAATTATTGAAATAAAGTGTGTAGACTGAGAAATTCACAATTTAGTTTGTTGTTAATTAAACTAGAAAATCACATTTCATTAAATAACACGGTATTAACTTATCACTAAAATTAAGATAAATATTTTACTATACAAGCAAAGATGGACAGTGGCTGACAGTGAAATCCAGTTTGACATGCAGTTCGTCCTATTTGGGACTCGTCAGCCGTATGTACCTGCATCTCAGAGTTGATATTCACTCTGGGACCATCGCGTTATCCACTCAGCTACTGAGTCCTGATAGCCACTTGCTTGTGCAATTGGGTGAATTTAAATTAATTTGGTATTGTTTTGCTTGAATCTTCCCATCAAAGTTCCACTGCTAGCCACTATCCATCTTTGCTTATAATACTTGTGAATTAAGGCAATATCGAGGCAATGCGCACAGTATGCACATATGCCAATAACAGACTGGTCAATTGCAGTCTTAAACCTCAATGGGAAGATACAAGCAAAACGGTACCAAGTGAATTTTGTTATAGTTTCCACTATTGAGAGGATTTTATCGGTCACTAAGTGTAATATAATCATTAAACTAAGTTAACTTGTTAAATAAATAGTGTTATGGAAGACAAATGTTAGTCTGATGTCAGTTTCACTGAACAATAAAAGCACTTATTTGTACAAATGTTTAAGATCAAGTGTATGTCTATTTTAAATATAATTGTGCATAATCGCCTTGTTTTACATTAAAAAAGTAATATTATTGCACATTACTTGTTCTATCTTTACATATTCATTTTAGTTACGAACTTTGAATTATTCTAAGATCGAAGTATCCACTTCATGTACTGAAGATCTCTGCTGTAGTTTACTCTTCAGTCAGCCAGTCAGTCGGCAACAACGTAGAACTTCGTACGTACGTACATCAGTTCAAGTTGCCATACCACATTAGCACAGAAATACGATTGTCGATTCAAATCCCATAGTGGTAGAGGAAGTTAAAATATAAGCAGTGATTGAAAATATTAGAGTCTGAAGATATTCAAGGAGTATAATCCAGTGAAATAAATTTGGAAAGAGAAGAAAGGGACTCTTAAATACTGTACAAGTAAATACTATCTATAGCTCAATCTAAGGGCTCCTATTGGTTGCCCACAATCATTCAACATTTTAAGATATTCAGTTATAATTCTAACTTAGCATTTAGTTTATTTAACATTATGTTATTTATAACAAACCTTACTGTTTATCAATAGCTGCAATTTCTTGATTATCACTTTTAACTTGTTGCAATAGACGTTGACGTTCTATTTGGGGATCTGTTTTTGATGCCTCTTCAGATAATAACTGATCTCGTCTACTTTGAACTTCATGAAGTTGAGTAAATAGACGTACAGCTTCTTGTTTGATCTTGTTCATTGATGTTTTAAAGTATTAATTCAAAACAATTAATAAATATAGCAATTTAATTCTTAGCAAATGTTAAACTATTCATCAGTTCTTAAGCGACATGCAAAGTGTATGTCATTTAAAATACTATAACCAATGGAACTGTCCAAATCCACATGTTTTCAAACCGACTTATGGTTCAATTTGAATATTTTCAGTAAAATTTATCTAAATGACCTGTAATGAATAGGTTTTCTCACAAGTAATTCATATAATGAGTGAAATGGTTCAGAATGGGTTACGATGGTGTGAGTACAATCAATTTTTATCTCCTTCAGTATTCCTCCATACATACGTTTACATTCCGTCTTCTTAAATTATATTCTCAGTGTTTATCCTTCCCCATTCTCCTTGTTACTACAATTGTCTTAACTCTTTTGCTATTCTTTGCGTTAATTTTATCTCGTGCCGACGTAATATGGCAACTTAGTCTAATAAACATATGGGTCAAGCTCCACAGTGATTATAACTGACTGAATGATCAATTGTAGATCGATCTTCATGGTGACGAAAGCATTTTCAAGACTTTTTGTAAACACTGAAATGTTCTGTATCTTTTGGATAGAATGCAACACAAGTATATAAGAATATATCCACTTAATACAAAATATAACTATTCTAAAATATCTATATATAGTAGGTGGTAAATACGTTACGAAAGCAGAACTTTTACTGCTGAAAGTAGATAAAAGTTAAAAAATATCTTCGGCGCATATTTTTCATAAGTGACTGATTACTGAGTAGTGATCAACGTAATGTTCTTCAGTCCACAAGATTGCAGCCACTCTACTGATAAGTGTCAAATGGCACGAAATATGTGTCCAAAGTTTCCTGTTTCAACCGCCCGATACATGAATTTTTTTAATTTTCCAAAAAAATGCAACATAACAAACCTTTGTTGGAGTATTTTACATATTGAGCTGAAAGGTACATAGTATATCGAAGCATCAAGTATTGAATTATGTGATTATTAATAGTATTGTTAATACTAGTAGTTTTTGTGGTACTACAAGCATTAATTATTTCTTTAAAATTTACCGGTGATGTAATTAGTTCTTCTTCAAGTTCAGCTTTTCTTGTATTCAATCTTTCTAACTCCATTTGACCTTCACTCAACTGATTCAAAAGATGAACATTTAAATCTTTTAATTTAAAATAACGTTCACGTTCTGTATCAACCATTTCTTGAATTACTATTTCAGACATTTCTTGTTCCTTAATTTAATTAGTTTGAAAAAGACAATACACAAACAAATTTACATGAATATAGAATAGTGTAGAACACTAGTTACAAACTGTTGATGATGATAATAATAATACTATGCCTTACATAACTCACGCTGTCTTGAATACTGCTTTAAATTTGAAAACAATTAGATTTCAACATCGAGTTTCATGATTACAAACATTGTCATGTATAATATGTGATTGAACAGCTGAATCCATCAAAATAGAAGTTATATATCATTACTACTGAAAAGGTATCTTATTATAACTAGTGCATTTGTTGAATTGTTACTGGGAGCACTCCCTACATCATCGATGTGTAATAAAATTAAACAATGGTCTAGATTTTGTTGCAACATACTCTATGAAATTTATTGTTAATGGTGACTACTTCAAGACATAGCACTAGTCTATTAAGTCATAGACTACTGATGTAAATTTTTTCATCAGTGGTGAAATTCTCAGTTGGGAGTTAATTGCATTCCGTCGTTGGAGAGATTAAGTAAAATCTGTTTGAATTGATGGAATCGATGGAAATGTATTATGTTTTTAAATTTCTCTAAATCATGAGCTTAGTTTTATCTCATATTAATAATTATTATATGGGATTTTTGAAGAATACTCAATTTACAACTTGTAGTAGCTGGTACTACATCAATCCCATATGGGTTATTCTAACTTCTGGACAGATCAATTTATTCATTCTTCTTCATTCACATCTAACGTTGTCGCTTATTCGCATAATAACTTTGGCTGTTTTTATTTGAGCATATGTGTTAATTACTCACTCTATTCATTACATGTCTGTAACTTATTCTTGCTTGACTATAAATATCGAGTCACGCTTGATTAAATCAAGCTCGCTCACCCGCCTTCTCTGTATTGCTTTATTTTTCAGTTTTCCCACGAGATTATCGGCTTTGCTTCGCGCTCTCCTTCCCGCTATCCCCACTTCGTTTCTCTGATTGTCTGTTCAAATCGATGAATGTACAAAATATATGAATTCAAAATTCATTCTCATATTTGATGTATTTTATTCCATTATCCTTTGATGTGAACTAAGTCGATAATTATGTACGAGGGTAGCCGACATGTATACTTCGATAACAATCATCATACGATCTAACTGGATTCAGATATATGGCAACAAAAAAATTAAAATCACGTACAGACTTCAACTAAATAACCTTTAAAAACCAAGAAGTATCTGGTAGCTTTTTGTCTCAGTATGAAAGTCCTTTGGACTGCACATCCCTAAATCTGATAGAAATTTAACTTGGAATTTTTAAATCATTTAGTGACCGTTTGACTCAGATCAAAACTGAAAACTAGGGTGCACTAAATAGTAGTCTGGAAGTCATACTCACTACGTAGCCTAAAGTTCCTGGGTTAAATTCCTTCTAAAATTTCGTGTTCGTGATTAAGAGGAGTTCTATACTAGGACAAAAAACTATCCAACCCTTCTCGGTTTTAATTAATTGTTTATTTGAAATTATAAATTCAAAATTATCACTGCATTGTTCAAAAATCTCATCCAATGTCTCATGACTACTGATCATGCAATAATAAGATAGTTTAACTTTTTTCACTGCTAAAGTTTTGAAAATCACTGCAATACAACTTAGTAAACAAACTGACAGAAATTACGAAAAAACTAAATATTCTAAATTTATTAAGGAGAATAGTAGAGTCAACTTACTTGTTTTAATTCTAGCTCACATGATTTTAATGATAATTCCTTTCTCTGACGATCTTCAAATAACATTTCTAAATTTCGTTCAGCTCGTTCATTTGCAGCACGTACATCTTCCAAATCCATCTCAATACTTGTAATATTATCACCTAATGTTGCTTTATCGACGAGAGTATTATAATCGCCTAATTCACCCTTGTTGAAAAATTGTTTTAAAGAAATGAATATATATGTTTTTAGTAAAATGAGATGCAAAATATTTTCAAATTAATACATTTACATAATCCACAAAATAAATCGTAGTCTTTTGCTTATTAGTGATGAACTTTGTGCATTGATACTTGTAATTTCCGAAAGTAATTTGTAACCTATATAGTCAATGAAATCAGAGATGATACAGTAACTTATTCATAACACTAGGTTAATGCTACGCCTCATCTCAAAAAGTAAAAAATATGAAATACTAAATTTCGACTCAATAGTCTAGACGTATAGTGCTTACTGTAAAGGGTTTCAAGATAGATCCTGCACACGATTATAGTTGTACAAATTAAAAACCAAGGAAAACGAAAGCAGCCTTTGATTTTCCCTTTCATCAAACAGTTCTCTAGATAATGTAATTTTCACGATGTAACCTATTACAAATGTTAGAAATCTCCACTCATCGCTTAAGTAAATGATAAATGATCATTTTTTTGCCGCATTTCAGCTTGTTATAAACGATATGACGCTTAACAATGATTAAAAATGTAACTAATCCCATTATATAGGCCAGAATGGCTAGATTCTCTATTAGAATTATTAGTTCATACAAAAATACATAAAAAGTTGAGAAAAACACAGGTAATTCAAGTACAGAACATTTCTTTGAAATGTAAATGATATGAAATATATTGACACTCATCAATATGTTTTTTATTCACAACAAATCGTAAGAAATCAGATTACTACAGCAGGTAAATAGCATTTCATGATCCACATTGATCATTTCAGTTTAGTGGTTTTCCTAATGATAAATTTAATTTTGTACCGATAGGCTTACGCATAGTTTTGTTGTTCCTGCATTCTTCCTCCGTTTGCTATCTTTTGTGTTTCCTGCCATAAATTCTCATAAACACAGATTAACAATACCATTATCTTAGTCAATAAATTACCTGTAGTTCTTTAATTTCATACGCCAATTTTTCAGCCATTTGCTCATATTGTACAAAACTAGCATTATCTTCCTCTTTTTCTAATAACTGACGTGTTATCGTCCCAATTTCTGAGTTTATTTCATTGATTTTTCCTCTTAACAATCCTAGAAAGTATGACTTATCTTCAATCTGACGTTTAGGTCCACGAATTGGGTTTCTAAGTCCGCCTAAACCTGTTTGTTTGTTATTAAATCAACATGATCAAAATAATATGCAAATTACCTTGTTGTGTGATCGGTCTATCTTCAACACAGACCATAGTGTCTAAAGTTGTCCCACCGAGCGTTCTACCACGGGCACCCGTCTTTGCGCCATCTGTTACACGACATGCAGTACCACTTTTACCTTGTATTTGGGCTGATTTCAGACGGGATGCAGTGCCTGGTCGAACAGCGCTCATACTAATTAGTAGTAAAACAAAAATCTGAAAATAAAAGATAAGTAGCTTCAGCGACTTTTTATATAATGCACAGTATAAAGTCAAAATAATACGAAAATAAAACTCTGACAGCTGTTCAACGTTAGTGAGCAGTCCTAAAATTCAGTCGATAAACACTGTTGCTCCTTGACTTTTCTCATGTATAACAGCCTGGGATGTGAACAAATGGAGATAGCATCTTATTTTCACTTTACAATATAAAATTTGGATTTTTCGGTTCAGCCTATTTTGTGCACCTCACGTGCTATTACTTGAAAACATTGTTTAATGTTTCGCAGGCCAATATTTTATGTTATCTGAAATTAATTTTGTAACTTTAATCAACCCAAAAGTGCTCAATATTTCAAATCTCTATTTTTCTGTATTTTGCGTTGTAATCGTTTCTTGTATTAAATTCTCTGTGAATTTCCTAATGCTTTGGCTATTATTTGATCTTAAAAATTACCAACATATTTGAAAAATTTTAAGAACCAAGACTGCGACAAAGAACGGTACTATTTGAGCAACTATAAAGGGAAACTCTGATATTTGATATGTGTTCTGCAACTTACAATTCCAAAAGAATGATTTAACAGACCGTCAGTCAGTCGGCTACGAGTTAGATCCAGGCACATAATGTATCGATCTAAGTTGCCACACCTCATTAGCACAACAAGGTGAACACCAAATTCATAAAAGTAGTTTCTTCAATCGTAGCAATATATTTAAGATCGCATATAAGGACATGGTACAGGAAGAATTAGTTTGTAGAAAGAAAGCAATTTTAATCTCACAGTTTAAGGGCAGAAAAAGGGTGTATACAACTATACCATTGTGATCGATTCTGAGCCACGTCACCAGGAGTCTTCAGCCACGGCTTACGATAGTCGCGCGGACCCCAACCAAGCAGTCTGGATCTACCAACATGGCTCAGACTAAAGGTCAGTGACTTCAAGCGCTGATGCCACGTTTTGTTTTGACCGCCCTTAACTTTCTTTCAACCATCCCTAACATTTGTCAGCATTGCGCGTCCTGGTAAGCTGTGATATAAGCAAGCCTGTTAAAGTCTTTGTGACAGAGCTAAATAATTCGATATTTAAAATTAGGTGTAAAAATTTGTCTTAGAAGGTAGAATATTTCAGGCGATACATTACCATAACACTTAAAGACACTAAATTGTGTCTTGAATTTGATCTCATTATTATGTAAATGAGGTTAAACCTAAAATTAGCCCCAAATGCCCTGGTACGGTCGAGAGTGGGGAGAGTCCGCTCTCCCTCTCGAAATACTCTCACATGGCCACGCGTATACAGCATCTGCCAGGGAAGTCCTACTCACTGCCTTCTCGTGGCGGGGGTGTTGTTTACGAAAATGAAAGGAAGAAGAGCGAATGTCGAACTCTTTAACCGGATCCCAAACCAATGGTGCACATGGGCTCCAGTATCCTAAATGAACAAATGGCGTATGAACCAATCGTTGGTCACCGGCTACCATGGGACTGCATCTCCTTACGATGCTCCACTGCCTTGTGGATCAGATCTTCAGGTCAAAGGCTCGGGGTGTGGCCCCCTAAGAAAACCACCTGCTTCGGTTTGGGAACCCGGTCAGTATCACAGCCCTCACAAAAATGAAATGAGATTTGTGTGGCGCATATTTATTTGGTGCCTCCTTGTACCAATATCTATGTGTTAAAATAAATAAATAAATAATAAACCTAAAATTAAATGGTAGAGACTGATATCAACTATTTGGAAATAAGAATTGAAACAAATAATTAAACGTCAATCTAATAAAATAAGCCAATAACCCTTACTAGTGGAAGATCTTTCATGATGGAGTCTTTTCTGTTTACTTTTATACAGAAACATAAGATAACCTTCAGACAACAAGTATGAACTTATTCACAGTTTTACATTGTAGAACATAACTGTAGTGTAATGGTCAGTCAGTGAAATGTAAACAGTGCCTGGTAGAAACGTGCATTATACCAATTTGCTACGCTACAATATCACAAAGAGATAAAACTAGCAGGACAGTAGGAAAAAGTGGTTGAGATAAAGATTATGAAAACAATCGAACATCAAAAATGTAGTCCAACAGGACGAAGTTGAACAAATAATTGAATCTAGCATCAAAAGATGTATAAATTTAATGCATCTGTGCCAATTCAATCGATTTTTGGCCATGTCACCGAACATCCTCAAATAATAAACATGATTATTACTCGAACCTCAACCAAATTTTGTCTCTGCTAACACTGCTGATTAAAAGTTAATGAACTTGTGAATCGATGCTACATATTCATTTGGACTCTCACAGACATCGTTAAACTCGATTCTACACATGCAAGCATCTTGAAACAAGGTCATATAGGCTTATATATACTAGTAAAATGTCCTAACAAGCACAGTACATGAAAACTTACAATCTTACCGAATGATTTTCTATCTGTGCCTACATCCCTATGACTGCCCTGAAAAACATTCATTCGATCGTCTCTCGAAACCTAAAACGTTTTTCGACGATACGAGCGAAAATCTATGGCCTAATCATACTTTCTATTTTCAAAGTCCATGTTTCACAGCCTTATAGTAATACAACTTTGATTAAAAAGCAAAACGAGACTATAATTTATGGACGAACCAATCAGACTTAGTATACCTCCTACTAAAAGTGCAACTGAAAATTCAGAGGAAAGCTTGTTCCAAGAAGGATATCCATAGCAAAATTAATTATAACGAGTGGTCAGATTAGATTAATCTGTCTCACTGACAGTACTTCTTTCAAACCAATTGAAAACTACTAAAAACGGAATTTAAGTTGGACTGATGAATAATTGCGTTGCTGAGCAATGACCAGATTAAACAACAAATAATACACTACAATACTCAATACTCTATAAGTAACCTTTTAAAATAAAAAGATTAATTATAATATCAACTATCATGATCACGCACTTTTTTGGGTCTTATTTTACTTATTATTTTCAATAAATTCGTGGTTCATAAGACCGATAGTCTGTAAATGTATCCCAGTTACATGAAGGCAGTATGTAGTAGTATAAATAGTGAATCAGATGTCAGCGTCAAACGGACCCCAGCTTTTCACTATCTTCAATAGCTGACATAAGTGATGCAAAGTTCAGTAACTTTATGTTCGAATCCAGGAAAAATTCTCTCTGCTCTTAGTTTCAGTTTAAAAAGGACAATAATGCCGGTAGCAACTTGTTTTGGGTTCGCAAACATTTTCAGAGTGCTCTCGTGAATTTCCTATTTTTTGAATAAAAAATAAGCGCAGATATATCTGATGCTAATCAGGCGTTAATTAGGTTAAAATCTGTGATCATTTCACCCCTGATCCTCCTATATGGAGTGGTAAATAAGTCTAGCTTAACCAGTCCATTATCATTCGCGAACTTTGTTATTTGAGAAATCAGAGTAGTTCATGTTCTTTGAACCTCTTTTAACAGTATTCTTCTAGCCAGTGACTAGCTGCTTGTATGCAATACTCAAGTTCAGGATGATAGCTCTATATATCGACCTGCATGTCGATCATAAAACTTTGGCCACTATCACATGGTAGTGAAGATTAGATCTTGACTAACGACGACCCCCAAGTTATTGAATGTCTGGAAATTAGAAGGCGCAATATTTCTCACTTTATATGTATCTGTGCCTTCATCACCAGTATGCGTTATAATGCACTTGGAAGCATTGATCGGCAAGTGCCGCATCCTCGACCATTTAGATAATTTCACCGTAACATTTTGGAGCTATAAACTGTAACTTTGCGTCTTGAAATGACCAGAATAATTTTGAGAGACCAAAGAGATCATTTACAAACGGTAGGGTAAAAACAGGGCCAAAAACTGTCCCCAGAGACGCTCTGCCAATCACAGATTCCCAGCTAGATGACTTCCAGTTCATCCGTACTGTTTATTGACTTACAACTAGGAAGTCCTTTGTCCAGATAAATATGTTGTCACCAATCCTGCTGTCACTAGGCTCAAATGACAGCAAGTTGTTTGAAACTTTGTCAAAAGATTTACTGAAGTCAATGAAGGCCACATCAATAGGTTGTAGTGACCTACCTTTATCAAGAGAACGCGAGAGGTATAATGGAAACAATTAGTATTATAACCAAAATATAGAAATATGATGAAATACTGAGAAATAAAACAGATGGCAACAATACGCCGGGAAAACAGAGAAATAAACATGATACATGAGAACGAAATGAGTCAGAGTGGCATATAAGGAGAAACACATTTAGGAATAAACAAATAGGTACTGGATGCCGGCTCAGTGGTCGAGTAGGTTAAGCGTTCGCGCGCGAGACTGAAGTACCTGGGTTCGAATCCCGTGAGCGGGATCGTGGATGCGCACTGCTGAGGAGTCCCATACTAGGGCGAAATGGCCATCCAGTGCTTCCGGGTTTCCAACGGTGGTCTAACATCAGTCGATTCATGATCTCAATAAAAAAATAGCTACTGTCATGAAGGATGTGTACATGGGAATATTTTCGACCAACACTCACGTATATGCAATGTTTTGATTAGCAGATATCTTCGTATGATTTCTTTTGTGGTAAAGAACATGACTTCGTAGATCACGATTCATTATCTTGACCCTTCTCCGTGAGCTGTGATCGACCGAAGTGCTATGCTATGAACAAAAGCAAAAAGCCATACAATTTCGAAAGTGTGCTGTGTAATATCTGAGCTGATAATCTTTGGTGGTGTGTTGTACAGTTTCTGGGACGTAATTCGCCCGAACGCCGGCAGCTAGTAGTGTAATAAGTGAACTTGCAACGGTTAGTCTGAAACATTCATAAAACCATTTAATTTGGAGAACTCTTTTCAGCGACAGCAGTTTCTCTACTAATAATTCAAGTGCATTTTGTTATTCCACCATTCTCAACTTCTGGTTTTGTTACTTTTGAGGTTATTTCATTCATAAAGGATATGAAAAAAAGTATTGTCA